GCCACAGGGCTGGAGCACCCAGGCAGGCTCTCTGCTGCAGGGCGGGGGTGCTGGGGGCTGAGCTCGAGCCTCAGACTACAGTTTGAGAACCACTGCAATAGATGGATACAGGTGGACAAGGGAGCACAAGGAATCCATATAGTAGCCAGAGTTCTCAGCACCAGAAGCCTAATCACTGTAAATATTAATGCAAAGGATAGATTTAAGGAAAGACCTGAAAGTGGATAATGAGGTTTGTAGGGAACTCGTCCCAAAGATGAGGGGCAGCCTGAGAGAAAGCACAAAAGTATTTGTTTGAAAAATTAACAAGTGGGCAATGCAGCCTGGCATCACAGGTTGCTTGGAGATGAGGATCAACAGAAAAAGAGAGATGACAGTTGTGGCCAGTCCCCACCCTGTCTTGCTGATGACAAGAGTGCATGGCTGCCTTGGAGGTAGGTGATTCATAGTATTTCAGGGGGTAACTTAGAGCGAGATGCCAAGAGATGCACAGAAGGTGCTAAGTGCCCTCCTGTCCCAAATGAGAGTCTATAACAGTGGAGTATTTTCAGCAGCTTGCAGGACTGAGCTCTTCTAGAGTTAAGAATAACAGGAATAAATGCTAAGAACAAATAAGGTAGGAGAGAAAAAGTTCAGGAGAGATCACTGATTCAATGAATAATAGAAATGTCATGATTAATCAGTGTGAACCTGAACTTCAATTACATAACAGATTCATTATCTGATGATATACCTCATGTACCCACACCATAATATTCTCTTAATACACGACTTGAAATATCAATGGGCATTCTTATCTCCTCAAGATTTCCATTATAAACATCTTTTTAACACCACCTACCTGTCCACTAAGCATGTTTAATTATAGAGGTATTTGTTATAAGAAACAGTTAATAGATCATAGGGTATGAATATTATTTCTTAACAATTATGGAGTAATAAAAATGTTAAGGCGAGTCTGCATGAACATTCTAAGCTATAATTACTTTCTGATCGCAAGATCACTGAATGTATTGCTCCTGAACAGATTAGCAGCTTACTTAATTATATATTATACTATGTGGGCAAATTAATTGGCACTTTTAGATTGATGGGTTGAGTTCACGTTAAAAATGTATTTGACTTGGCTCCCTTTTCCTCCTGAAGTCAGAAATTAATTTTATAACTCAGCTGATAAACAATTGTGTGAAGCAAATACAAGAAAAGCTCAGTACGAGGAAAAAAAGCTATTATCTCTTTCCTCTATGCTTTGTATGTTGCTTCCAATCTTGGAAGTGTTTTGTGGAAAACACATGGGTTAGAATGAGAAATGGTTTTCATAGGAGAAGCACCATTAAAAAACAAACCCAAAATCCACCCAACCAACTAAAACAGCTGAATCCTGGTAAAGATTAAAAAGAGCTTTATGATTGCTTTGCTGCCACCATCCTTTACTTTGTAAACTATTCTGTCCTATCTACCTTTTCCTGATTCTCTCTCCTGTATCCCTTTTTTAGCATTAAGATGGACCATAATATGCTTTCATCTCCCCCACAAGCAATATACTGTATTCAAAAGGTAAATAAACATAAGCAAGATTTCATATGCAACTTAACATAAGAACAGAAATATTATACAAGGTAATACAAATTGAACTCTGTCACTAAATAGCTAGATTTTACAAGTTAAGCCCTCGATTAACCAGGATACATTTTGGACATCCCAACAATTACTCATGAAACATGCTCTAAAGACAGGTTTTCACTAATGTTCAGTCACATCATTAGGATTCTTTCAGGCAATAAAGAGAAATTATTAACAGTG